TCTGTCTTTCTCTAAGATTAAAAGAACTCAATTTTGTCATGTATCGGGCTTACTAGTACGTATCTGCTAATGTGAATGCAGTTCAGAAATCTGTGGTTTATGCTCTGTTCTTCCTGTAAAACTCACAAAGTTTTAACCAAAATCATTCTCTATTAAGATAAAAACAAAGCAAAAAAATCAGGACATAAATTTACCACATGGAAATATTATGTGCCTAATTTAGAAGCAATGAGATGAAACAGAAATTATCATAGATATTTCAAACAATCTCAAGTAAAGCCTAGCAGGCAATTTGTAGGAAATTATGCATTTAACAATTTTTAGTCTGCATTATGGATTGTGGAGTGTCTCATAATCGAAAATTTCTGGCAGATGCATTGGTCTGACTAGCCTAACACTGTATCTGGCTAGATATTGTTTATGTTTCTTGACCAAACAAGCAACTAGACCCAGTAGTCCTTGATTAGGTTTCTGATAACTCATTTAGCAATCAGTTTCCATCAATATTTACTTTAAATGCAAGTCAAATTTGCTGTTACACTTAGCTCGTAAAATTGACATAAATGTCAACCCAATTCACATTAAAATAAATATTGAAGTGACACCTGTCTCAAGAAGCCTTCCCAAGGAAAAAGTGTTTAAATACAGAAGACAGTCACAATCACGTTTTTAATAACAGTGAACTAAAATGTAAACACAATGAGAAAGTAGTATCTATATTTCTTAATGTGAGTGAATGGATTGATTTGGTATTTAAAACTAATGCAATATGGATTTCTTGCATTTTGTCTTTCATAAAACTGCACTTTAGAAGTGTAAAAGACAAAATACAGCTTCCTTGTACCCATATCTGCTTTGTGGTTTTGTTGGTTTCTTTTTCTTCTTTTTTCTTGTTGTCTCAATGATGTACTCCCTTTCATGTATATCTATGTATATCTGCTTCCCTACCCCTCGTTCTTATTTGCTCTTTATACTTATTTTCAACTATTCTTTTAAAAATCCAGTTTACTAATTCTCCTTTCACCTTTCAACACAGCCTATACTCCCACCATCAGCAGAAGTTTTTTAATTATTTTGCTCATTCACTGTCAGAGTCTGATTACAGAGGAGGAGATCTAAAAGCCACTAAAAATGTATCAGTTTTGGGGTTTCAACAGTTTCTCATCTTTATATGACCTAGGATCTTGAAATTCTGATGTATTTCTCCATTGTAAAATTTTTGATAACAGCCAAAGTGAAGGAGGAGTAGGGCAGGTAGAAATTTAGGCAGAACTCAGAAATAGGTCACACTTTTTTGTAAACATGCAAAAAGTAAATGAGTTGTATATGGGTTTGTTTTGACGTAAAGTAAGAAAAAGGCATGATTGTTCAGTGGGCAAGAGAAGATGGTACACTGAAACTATTCCCTACTAAAACCTGGTTACAAATTACCTCTACATGCCCACAATATGCATTTTAAACTCCCATCTTCTCCCTTAAACTATTGTTATGTTTTGTTACCTGCTGTTAACTTTGGTTGAAGCACAATATGTCAAAGTAAGAACAGGCTTTTACCAAGAGTAAACCTTCCTTCAGCCTAAGTGGCTTTTGTATTATTTCATGAATATAACTTTTTTTTTGGTGACACGATGTGTTAAACTCCTAGGAAGTTAATTAAAATTCCATGTGTTTTGTATGATAATTTAAAACACAGCTACTACATGGAAAAGGTATTACCACAGAGTGCCTGGGACATATGCCAGAAAGGCTTAAGTAAGGAAAGAAATATGTACATTTGCTGTCCTGTCTCAATAGACCAGTGGCAATATTTTCTAAATCACAAGGATCTTGATGGGAATTCAGAGATTAGGATATAATTTTAACTAGTAATTGGATATACTTACCACTGCTCCCCCATCTGTTTCTTTTCAAAATGACAAAAGCTGGCTTCCTTCTCTCTTATTTTGAAATCATTACACCATAGTGATGCCATCAATAATCTCTTTCAAGTCTATCTTTGGCCATTTTAAAACTTTGGTTTATACGCTTGCCCAAAGTTTTATCTGCTGAAACTCAAAGCAGTATGACGAAAGAAGTCATACCAGATGGAGCTGCACTAAAGCTTTAGTGCAACATTGGGGTTTAATACAGAGATTTCAAATACTCAGGTAATCTCAGTCTGATCTTTTGTATACTTACAGGGTTTAGGGATTGTTTTATTCAAATGCATCCATCACTTGAAAAAATTACAAGTGCTCAGTGTTAATTCCATTCTGGAATTACCTGAAAAGAGGTTGTAGTGAAGGAGGGAGTCTTAATCTTCTCCCAGGTAAAAAAGGACAGGATGAGAGGAAATAGCATCAAGTTGCATCAGGGAGGCTTGGATTAAACATTTGGAATTTTTTTTTTTTTCTTCACATAAAGGGTTTAAAGTACTGAAACATATTGTCCAAGGAAATGGTAGAGTCACCATCCTTGGAAGTGTTCAAAAGACCTGTGGATATGGCACTTGAGGACTTAGTTTAGTGGTGAACATTGTGATGATGCTAGGCTGATGGCTGGACTTGATGCTCTTGAAGGTATTTTCCAAGCTTAATGATTCTATGATTCTATGATCTAGTGATTTTATGGATGACAGAAATTTGTGAATTGCCTAAGACTGACAAGTATGTGTTGTGTGGGTTGCCTAAAATATTTACACACATATGAGCACTCATATACACATGCATACATGCATACATATATAATGCAATATATTTAGCTTCAGACTACTTAAAGTATGTAGAAGTGATTCTACTTTATGTTCCTATATAGTAGTACTAGCAAAACATCTACACAGATATCACTGAAATGAGCTTTTTTCAGGATTCTGGCTGGGAATGTTGATCAGCAGTCTGTGTTTCTTCATTCTGTGTACAAGTATATAGAAAAGTAAATACTCTCTGTTCTCTGTCTTTCCAGTGGATAAGCAGCGCTTTGTGTAACAAAATCGTTTGAGAAATAACGCATTTGTAGAGTCTTGTTCTATTATTTAATGAGATCTGGAAATATATCCTTCTGCTAAAATCACCAGAAGGACATCTTTGGTGGAAGTACTGCATTAAGTGAAAATAATTTCTTAAAGAAGAGGAAAAGCTTGATCCTCAGTAATTCGTGGAGTACAGGGATTACCACAAATTAAATTGCATCAAAATTGTATTACAATTGGCATTCCTTAGGAATAATTCAGAATTATTTTTTGTGCAGGATTATATGATGAAGGATAATTGAAAGGGCGTTTTGATATTAAAAAAACCCCAACCTTCAGAAGGTGAGACACCTCCTAAAACCAGTACAGCTACTACTTATTTGCTAGAATTTCATAGCACACAAATACAGTTTGCCCATGCAAATAGAGAACTGAATCTTCAGTGTCCACTTCATGGACATACATAATATTACTTGTGTCAAATGGATGTCTATTTTAGTCATCAGTGCCATGCTGATAAAAGACAAACAACCCTTCAATTTAATGCGAGCCAAAGTAATTGCAAATGTAAATATTTAGTTTGCACGTGTGTTTGTCCAAAAGAGGCAAAGTTTTACAATCACACCTGTTAGAATGATTGTGCTCCTGGGAACTGAAACAAAATTAAGCTAACAAAGAAGGAATAGAAACACAGAGACATGATCAAAGTGAAGATGAAAACGTCTTATTCATGCACCTAAAGGCTTTCCTCACTGTAGTTTAGTGAGAAGAGCAAGTTAAGAACTGTCTCAATCCCTTTTGTGTCTATACAGAAAAATCTCTGTATTGAATAAAATATTACCGTAAATCTCAGTCCTGAAAGCCACGGCCTGAAGCCCAAACTGTGCAGCAGAGCTGCAGGCACAGTCCCCACCTGAGGTGGTGCAGCTGCTCATTCCCCTGCGGTCCCTGCGCACGGCAGCTGGTGTTCCGCGGTGTCGTGGTTTGCAGTGATACCACCCCGAACCCCGCAGTTCTGGTGAAATATTGCAAGCAATGGGTCCGAGTTTGATCTCCAAGATTTCAGACTAATTCAGCTGATTTGCAGTCTATTATTTAGGCGCTAGATGTCACCATGTACTGCAAGCACGCGCGGGCTGTGCTTGCTGGTAAACAAAGGGGAAATCGCTGGAACCAAAGTTACGTAGTGCATTGTTCATAGACATATAACCCAATTACCACTTTGTTACCACCTGTCTGAATTTTCCCAAGGAAATAATTATGTTGGCAAACGTTGGCTATTTCCCGACGTATTTCACTGGAGCGTCTCGAATCAGATCACGGCGGTTTTAATTATTTTTTTTTTCCGATTTATAATGAGTTTGACCCAACCTCGTTGCACAGGAAACGGTGGGAGGTCTGAAGCTTAAGACAAGCCCAATGTCAGATCTACATCAAAGCTGACAGCCTGGGAGGCTGAGGTGCCCTGGGGCTCCGGGTCCTCAGCAAAGGCAAGTCCTGGAGCTTCACAATCCCTCGTAATTTCTAAACCAATTGATGCTCTTTGGTGAGTAACAGCTACAGGAACAGGTTCCTTGAAATTCAGTACATTTTGGGGTTTAGTTTGATTTTGTTTCAAATCAGACACCAAAAATAAAAAAAAAAAAATAATAAAAAAAAAAAAAAGGCGCGTTGGAATCAGATTTTCCAGTCATCTCTTTCCCCAGATAAGACTGCCCGGACTACGACTGCTGTAAGTAACTTTGTTCGCTCTCCCCGGTCAGCTCGTTCAGCGCGCGTGTACCGACAGCTGCCCCGTGCCTCTGCCCTCTGCTACTGTCGCCTCCGATGCGCTTCATCTCTCCATCCCCCCCCCGCCCCGTTGCCTCTACGAGGGCAGCGCACTGTGCCTCTCCCCGATGCCTCCCGCTTCTTCACCTGCTTTTGCACCCGGTGGACCTTTCACAGCGCCCCGGCACTACCTGCGCGCTTATACTGCGGACTTTTTTCTTTAATTTATTTTTAAAACTCGGACATGGGCATATACCGCTGCCTCTGATATTTTAGTTGTAAATCAGCTTCTCTCCACCCAGCCCGGAGGAGACCCGTAGGTCAGGGTAGGGGTGCAAAGTACCCCTCCGCCTCTTCTTTGCCCCCCTAGCCCCGGGTGCTGCAGGAGGCGGGCGGGCGGGCGGGCCGGGGGGATGCAGTCCCGCCGGGAAGTTCCTCGGCCGGGCCGGGGGGATGCAGTCCCGCCGGAGACCCCTCCAGCCGGGGCGGGAGTCACTGTGCTCGGCGGAGCGCGGAGCGGAGCCACCGCCGGGCGGCCCCGGCGGTGCGAGGGGGGGGTGGGCGGTGAGGGCGGTGAGGGCGGCCCCGCTCCGCCCCCGGCGCGGGGGCGGTGGGAGCGCGGGGGGCGGGGCTGCGGGGCGCAGCCGCCGCTGCTCGGGGCCGGGAGCTGGGACTCCCCGCGGGGGTTCCGGTCGCTGCCAATTGCGTAAGGGCGGCAGCCGGGGCGGGGAGCGGCGGGACTTGGCGAGCAGTCGGCGGCCTCCCGCCGTGTCCCGGGCGGGGAGCGCCATGCCGCCGCCCTGAGCGCGCCAGCGCCGGGCCCAGGTGAGATCGCGCCCGGTCCGGCCGGGTCGGCGTCAGCGTCGAGACGGGCCGGGCCTGCCGGGTCGGGCGGGCCGCCGGAGTGCGGGCCGGGCTGGGCTGCCGCGCCTGCCGGCGGGGCTCTGCCGCAGTGGCCTCTTTTGTTCCCGGGGCCGGCGGGAGGGGAGGGAAGGAAAGAGTGGAGAGCAAAGGGAGGGAAGGACGGAGCGGGGGCAGCTGCAGCAGTAGGCGGTGGCGGGGCGGGGAAAGCCGGGCAGCGGCCGCCCGGGGGAGCCTCCGGGGCGTTTGGCCTGTGCCCAGCAGGTGTGGGCCCCGCGACTCCTCCGCGGGTGCTCGGCAGGTGCGGCGGGGCCGCGCTGGCTGGGCCGCGGCTTTGTTGGCGCGCCCGGTGGGATGCTGCTGGAATCGCAGTGGGAAGCAGCTGGGCTCAAATCAGCATCGCGGCAGGGACTGCGCTGGGACTTGGTAGGTATCCCCGAATAATCGGGTTATCGTGGAGTGCCTTCCTGGTGACTAATAACTAGTGTCTGCTTTACTTGCCCAGAGGCACGGAAGAAACAGTGGGAGTTGTACATCATCTCAGCCCTTCCAAGAAAAGAGGGTGTGCGGTGATGAACGCCCCGCGGTTTTGCTACATCACAGCTTAGGTGAGAGCTGTGTGCTGAAGATGCTGTCCTTGTTTGTGCTTTACATGTGAAGTAGCGGCACGGATTCTTTAAAAGGGGAGAGATTTTAAATTTCTGAGTAGTTATAAAAAGAAAATAGCACCTGGGCCTTGACAAAGACTAAATGAAGATAAATGAAGATAAAGCAGTACTTCGTATTTTTGTGTGACATTAGTCAAGTTTTAATGAATCACAGAAAAAATGTGAAATGATGGGAAATGGCCTATGGGTAGCAGTAGGGAGGAAGGGATGTTCATCTTTGTTCTTAGGAGTCTGTAGCTCTTCAACATGCTTTGTCTGCATAGATACTATGCACTGCCTGTGCAGATGTAAAATCTGCCTGATCAAGTTTGTTGTGCCTGCGCCTCCTGCGCTCTCCCTGCTAATACATACAAAGTCTGTATACCAGGGACTTTGAGCTAGACAAAGTGTCCAGAGGAGTAATGGTTTTATGTAAAGCACTCATAATGCCCCCATCATCAAATTTGAGGAGAAAAAAGTGAGTGTGGGGGGGAAGAGGACAAAGACAAGGGGTGTTGTGAGGTCCATGCTAAATGAGTGTCTTCTAAAATTCAGCATATGATCTGAACAGTAGCTGGGGAGTGTGCTATTTTGAGATGTGGATAGGTGTTTTTCAATGGCAGACTGTAGGGTTTTTTAATTATGAATATTATCACTTTCACCCCCACAGTATTTTGTGGGAAAAATGGTGATGAGGGTTGGCTGGAAACTTTTAGCCAGTTCATCAGACTTGTCACTGGTTGGTGGAGACACTAACTAGTAGAAGATGGTGACCCCTGTGTGGAAAAGCCATTGTTTTCAGAAAGCTCTGTGAAATCCATTAAAGGGTTGCTATCTGTAACAGGTCCTATGGCTGGAAGAGTTACCTTTTGGTGACACAGCTCACATTTCTTCCAAGTTGACATATCAGGGGATGGAGCTGGGGTACAAAAAGGTTGTTTTTCCTCTAAGGCGTAAGTATAAAGATAGGTAGAGCACAAGCTGGGGGACTACCTTGGTTATTTTACAGCTTTTTTTTTTTTTTAAATTTGAGTTGATACATGTTTGAGTAGCTTGTACTTAAAAGGAGGTTTTATTTCCTTGTGTAATGAGAGAGTGCAGTGGGACAGGTGCTTTTCAGTCTGATTTAAATACTTCAAAACAATATTCTTATCACCAAAGATGCAAATAAATGCCTGCATGCCTTGGACAGTCTGGACTAGAAATGTTCTTTAATTACAGATAACTTATTAATTTGCTTTTAATACAAAGCACAGTCGTTAACTTCCTTTATTGTATGTCTGTCATATTTCAGAAAAATTCTATTAAACAGTTTTAGCATGCTTTCTTCTGTGTGTTTTGAGGTTAGTCAGTTCAGCTTCTCGCCATGGAAGTCTTTTTTGCAGAAAATGAGCAGTGTTCTGCAGGTCATTATTTTTTCTCCATGTGAGGAAAAAAAGATGGACATTAGAAATACCAGGGACCTTACTTGGTGACTCAATTATGTCTTTCTTACCTGTTGAGTAGAAGGTAACCCTTTCCTTCTTTACCTGTGAGATGGCTCTGACCACACTCTGGAGCTCCATCTCCTCTTCATTTTGCCTTGTACATGAGCTGCGGGCATGTGGGGAGGAGAAGGAACTTGGTCCCCGTTGTTTGATGGGGGCTAATGCTGCAGCCTATACAGCTGTACGGCTACACCCCTGTCCCACAGCTAAAGGAGCTTCTTGGCTGATGGGCCACGTCATGCATGTCTTCAAGGAAACTTGTCCCACAGTGCTTGCAGCGACACTGTTCTTCACCTGTGTGCTTGAACGAACGATTTAAAAACCTCAGACAAATCTGGTAAATCTCTCTTTCTGTATATTAAAAAATTATAAGAGTGTAGTCTTAACCGTATAAATAAAGTTCATGCTTAGCATTACTAAGACAGTTTTGTAGAATCATCTAACGTGTGCATCAAAACATGATTAAAATCTGTATTGTAAATTGGAGTTTCTTGATTTAAATCATGATTTTTAGACTTGATTCATTCTCAGCTTATTTTTACTAGAAGGGATTTCACTACTGATTTAATGGAGGTATTTTTGGCAATTGTTTGTAGATATGGGTGTAGAAATCCACTGAAATATTTTCTTGGAATAGTAAAACTGAGAAAGAAAATGGAGAAAGAGTAGAAAACTCTATACCTTTATAAAAGATGTGAGGAAGAAAAGTCAGGTGTTTGCCAATATTGAAATGAAATACTGAAGGCATTAAAGAATGCATACTTTAGAACAGATTTTATTCCTTTGGTGTGAAGTAGTTTAATGCAAGAGAACCTATCAGCAGCTCTTCTATCTTTTTGGTGCATGGGATTAAAGAAGGGGAATGTGAAAAAAAGAGTAGTGCAGTTCTGCAAGATGACCAGCTGTACCTGGCAGGATGTTGCAGTACTTAATGGCTGGGTGCAAATTTCTTGGAGTTTCCTAGAATGGAATTTACCACAATAAGCCAAAATAAGAATGTGGCCACTAGCTCAGCAGAAGGCGTACTTAATGGTGGATTACAGGTCTTTGTTTTGCTCTTTGAAGACTTACTTCTATCCCAAATATGCCATTTGTGACTTTTATAAAAGGAAAATAATAGAACATATTTTTATTTTATAAGATTGTACAAAAGTTTCATGTTAAGTCAGTGTAAGGTTCAGTGTAAGTTAAGTCACTGTTTGTTTTTCACCAAGCTCTCGACTCACATAGTTCTGTGATTCCTGTGGTACCTTAGAACCGTGGAGGATGTTGGCATTCAGATATACTGGAAGTTATTCTTTGATAGTTTATTGGTAGAAACTCTTTTCACAAGACTCTTCCTTTGAAGGCTTTGTGCCCTGATGGGTTTAGCTGGTATGTGCTGTGCCATTCTACTGCATGTCACTATTCCTACAGCAAGTGAAAATTGTACTTAAGTTTCAGATACTGTGTATCAGTCTGGCGTGTTAATGTAAGCTGTCATGTTAAGGTGTATTTTGTGCTGACAATGTCAGCAGACAGTTGCAGTGGCTGAGCTGAGAGGGATTTGGTCCTTGGAGGAGGAGAGGTGATTTTGGAAAAGTGAAGGCAGAAGACAGTTAAATGAGATCTTAAAGCATAGTAGAAGAGTGACCACATTGTATCAGGCTTAGTGTCCATCCAGGCAATTGCCAAATGTCTGACAATTCTGAGGAAAAGGTATCTGGTTACTACATAATGGTGTTACTACATAATGATGCTACTGCTTTCAGCCTCGAACAGCTTACTGCTCAAGGACTTCCTAAACTTGAGGCAGTATTACTTATCCACCAGCCCTCTGACTGAGACTGACTTTTCTGCAGCCTTGTTGCTCTCTTAACCTACGTAAATTCTTGGAAGTCCACAGCATACAGTACTGAGTCAGGCTCAGAAACCTCTCTGTCTCAGCCTTTTTTTTTTTTCCCTTGGAAGAGACATGAACTCATTTGCATTCTTCCTGCTACTTCTGACTGTATGGACCTATGTCATATATCCTCTCTCTTAGTCATCCACCACCGGGATGAAGAATCCTTTGGGAGTGCAAACAGCTAAGAAGTGCTGATGTCACAGCTGTGTTCTCATTGATGTGATTTGGAGCTCTTACTTAATTTTTTAAGGCATACTCATTTACCTTGGCTCATACATATGCAAGGCAACTTCAAAGAATGTGAGTGTGCAGCTGCAGCAGTTCAGCTTTTCAAGCAGCATTGTTTTATTTGTGGTTGATACACAGTTAAAAACAGTCCCTCAAGTAAGCAGAATAAGGGGTGAGATATCATTTACTGAAGGTTGAGTTGGACTGAGAAAAAATTACAAGAACTTAACAGCTTTGCCTAAGAAGAAGGAAATGCACATGCTGATATGGAAGAGAGCGTATTATGCTACTGATTATTGTTTTAAATATAATTTAAACATGACAACCCTCTGATTATTGAGTGGTTCTGTCAGTACACTGAGGATTATTTTTGCTTGTATCTGTTGAACAAAGCTAAACATGGGATCTCACTCTTTTCCCCTTTCCCTGTTATATTCTGTATTGTCATATATGCTTATAATCTTAATTCTTATAATCTATTTATGAGAACTTTTCTAATTTGAAAATCTTACTTTCCTCCTCTTTGGAGGACGATTGTAGACCTGAACTCTATTTCATCAGTGATTCAATGTATTGCCAGAACTGGACTTCACCTCTCTGAAGTGTATTACCATTTACACAGAAAACTTTCTGCAGTGAAGTCCTAAGCTGTGGCTGTTTGGATGGGATTTGTGTTTTTCTCAAGACTGCAGATAGCTGTAGATACCACTTCTTATTGTCAATATGAGAAGTAGTTAAGTTTTTTGCTAGTTTGTGCGGTTTGGTTTTTTTTTTTCCTACCATCATATTCAGGTTCTCTAAGATGAACGCAGCAGCAAATGCATCACTTTCACATGAAGGTGTTGACTTAAATGGAGCTATTAATTTACTTAAAAGTAGACTTGTACTCAGATGCATGACTGAGCTGAGGAGAACAAAGTGTTTTCTAAACTACCCCTCCAATGTCCCTGTGAGGCTAGTGACCTCTTTTTTTCCTCATATTACAGCCTTGGGGCTGAAATAAGCTGTGACTCATGCAGCAAGCTATTAACAGATGGGTGATTAAAATGCAAGTTTCCACTCTTGTTCTCATAGACAAATTATTAAATCTTTCATTCCTGAAAATATGAAACAGTAAAAATTGTTCCATTCATGTTGCTTATTTCAGCCCATGTGCCGCATATTTCCTAGCGTGCTCTCTTGCATCTGCTGTATTTAAGTTGTCAATCAATTCACTTGCATGCAAAGAAACAAGTGATTTCTGCATGGTTTCCTCCAGCAGAACATGCTGTTGTTTTAACAGTGAATGAAAAACAGAATAGAGTTCCCCAATTTATAATTCATTTATAGAGGTTAACTGTATCAAAAAGAAATATAGGGAGAAAAGTAGAATTCACTCTTAAGTGTCAGGTACCATTTTAGATATACTGACAATGGTTTGCTGTGGCTTCTCAGTTGTGTTTCTTTGTTTTAGTGGGCAAGACTTGAAAATACTACAGTTGTATTTGAGCAGACTGAAAATAACAGTGTCTTCTGGTCAGTTAAGAATTCTTGAAAGCTTGCAGGACAACGTTTGGAAAAAAAACATGTCCCTGCAGTTTCTGTAGTAAGACACATCTCTGCAGAAGTACAAAAATCCCTAAGTTTTATACATGAACTTTCTGCAAAATTAGATATTTCATCTCTTGCATCAAATACTCTCCTGACAGTTGTGTAAGTGAAAACAAGCAAGCTCTACAGAGCTTATTCACACAAACTGTGGGTGAAGGACAAAAGCCCAGTTGTCATTGGACTAGGGAACCATTTTTCTTGTACAAATACCCATTTTGCCTCTGATCTTTCAGTCTTATCCCTAATGGTGATCTACCAAACACCTCCACAAGAGGCTAGGAATTAAATTCAGGGCTGTCCTGTATACTGTAAGCCATGAATCTGATAGTGGTTTTGCTTGACATGCTATAATTTCATACTTGTCCCCATAGACATACTTGTATTCCAGAGGCTACAAATTACCTGTCTGCTTCCCTTGGGAAGCAATCATCTCACCATCGTCTCCCCCTCACCCTGTCATCCTTTCTAATCCATAGCTAGTAGCTAAATTGTTTTGTATATCGTATCACCTAAACATACATAGTTCAGCTTTCCCTATAATTTTGAAATTTGCTTCTGACTTGGAGAGAGACTAGTGTGCTCTAAGATTTCACTGGAGCAGCTGATGAAGATTACTTCTATCTATAGACCTTGTCTTACAGTGTAAATATAATGCATGCTTTCACTTCTGTCTCTTGATACGTGGTATCAAAGTGATTCTGTGATTCTGTACTTTGAAAGATTTGTTTTAGGAAACATGGTCCTTGGCTCAAATGGTTGCATATCATGCAATTTTGCATGTTTTCTGTATGCCAAAAAATTCAGTAAAAATTCAAAGTGGTGGCATGCAGCAAATGGCTTGTGTGCCTAGAAAATGTCAATAAGAGTTTTCACACGTTTTTTTTAAGTCGGCTGGGATTTTTCAGGCTGTTATAAAAGTTATTGTCATTTTCAACAATTACTTAACTGTCTTAGTGTGTTTTAATGTGCACATATTCTTTCCAGCTTTTGTACACAGGTGGAAAAGTGGGTTCCTACAAACATTGCTGTCTGTGGTCGTAGTGAATAGGTAGGTGTAATTTCAGAATAAGGAAGTAGAAGAAAATGTGGAACCAGATAGGGAAATGTGGAAGCAGATAGGAAAGCATGTGGGCACCCTGTGTATCTATAGGGGACTATTCTTAATGGTGAGGTTGGGATTCATTGAACTGGTGACTTCCAGGGCACTTGAAGCATTGAATTAGTATCTCCATTGTAGTTGACCAGCTTGAAGGCTTGTAAAAATGTGCACGTTGTACTTTAGGTGTTTGGTTTATATCACTTTCTGTTCAGTAATTGTACCTACTTAGAACCTTTTTAATACTGAATTCTTGTCCCTTTTCTTGGGTCTCTCACT